GCTAAATTACAAATAATACTACCTACTCTGCTGTGAAAATCCCCTAGTGATTGCACTAAAATCTGTGACCAACCGGTCTATCACAGTACTACTCGAGCTATCAAAACAGGGGCAGCTTTAAAACTAACTCCTAGCAATCTAACCATTCATACACACACAACCAGCAGACATACTTTTCTAACCTACTCCCTACCATCAAGGCTATACCAACACATACCAACACATTCTAACCATTCATACACACACAACCAGCAGACATACTTTTCTAACCTACTCCCTACCATCAAGGCTATACCAACACATCAGTTGGGGCTCCAGTTCTAATTCCCCGCCTACATGGGTGGAGGGGCAACCAAGAGTTCTAGTAGCATTCCCTGTGGTAGTCACCAGGAGCACCACCCTTTCGATCTCTCCCGCTGTAGTCTCCGCTGTACAGTCTTTCGTGCCCCCCCCTGTCCAGCCAATCCAGACAGCTCCGAGGCAGGATCCAGCACCCAGGACCCACCGGCGACCACTGCTCCCCTCAACCAGCTCCACAACTCAGACACCGCTCCGACCCGCGATCTTCTTCAGCCCTTGATGTTCCCGGTGCCCAGGACTCGCCACAAGCTCTGCTGTAGGGGCGGTGCAAACCTGCTCTCCTGCCACCTGGCCGATTGGGGGGACTCCAAGGGACGGAAAACCCCCTCTTAGGCTCACCCACCATCGCCCGCGGGGCTGCCGCTGCCACCTCCAAGCTCCTAGGCGCTCCCAGGCGCTCCCAGGAACTGTCCCAAAATGGCTGCCACGCTGCTCGCTCCCGAGTTGTCAGGCTGCCAATCAATCCACCGGTACGAGGTTCACGGCAGTCCGGGGCTGTGAACTATTGCATGGCCTGGGATTGTGTCGACTCGGTGGAGGCAAAGCATGGCATACAACCACTGGCAGGTCTGCAATAGATGGAGAAGCCACAGCTGTTGTCCTCCTGCTCCAGGAAGTTAATCTGTCTGCCCTGCAGCATTGAAGGAGAGGACCATACAAACTTCCCCTTCCTGACAATAGGGGGCATACCCACCCTGCAAATGGGGGGAGGGGTATAGAGGCAGAGGCTTAAAGTACTACTTTCCTGCTATAATAAAGAGCAAGGGCACATAAAATTAGGAGTCATGAGACAGATCCCTGATTCCAGATCGGAGAGATGTCCTTATTGCATTTAAAATCCCTGCAATCCAAGGGAGCAGCTAATATAGCCACATTTCCCTGTCCATGTGTGAAGTAGGATGTATGTGTATGCACGATTTCTAGTTTAAAACAAATCTGAAGCATGCAGGTGACCAATGCTGAGCCTGCTTCCTCCCATGTTAGCAGTGGAAACGTAAGCGATCTGTGGAAGAACCAGATGCAATGTCCCTGTGCCTCTCAGCCTCCAAGAAGCAAGGGGCCAGAGAGTTGCAGATAGACAGGCAGACATTAAGCATCTTCATGTTTAGTTTTCTGTCATTGAACCCTTTGAAGTGTAGATTGCTACTCTTAGGGAAACAACTTCCTTCCATCTCCCCTCTCTCTCTTGTCAGAGTGAGGACATGTTTCTCCATCTTTGGCACTATGGATGCCAGATTCCTCTCTGCATCCACATCCATCCCTAGCTAAGTAGAAACTGTCTCTTTCTGTAAACTGCACTATCCAGCATGTATTTCCTAAATAAATCAGTTATTTTTTAAGCTGATAAGTGGCTTTGTGTAACCTTGTAGTCTTACAAGCATACACTGAACAAAAGAGCTCTGCTGCATTCTGAGCCTTTAGCTCACTCTGCAAAATTTAGTGAGGGATCTGGACTAATATACCAGCTCTCCCAATAGGTCATAGGCCCATATTACTGGTTTTAACTGGGAACCAGAACCACTTCAGGCCTCAAAAGGGTTAGGGTTGTTCTGTTCCTCACCGTGCTTCACTGTTTGAGGCATCTTTTATCCTAGCCAGGTTCCAATATTCTGGTCACATGGGCCAGTTGCTCTTCTACTTCCTGAAGAAAGCTTGTATCTCGCTTGCTGCTTCTACTGCATCGGCGATCGCCATTTTTAAACATGTTTACTTTTTATAGAATCTGCCAAAGTCCCAAAAACTTGCCCAAACACTTATTTGGCTCCTGGAGTCTCCTAATACAGTCTATTGCCACTTAAAACTCCGTCCCCACTACAAAGGCTTTTCTTTAATTGCTTATTTGCTCTTTCCATGGGAGAGTCCCCCCCCCCTGCTTTTAGTAAAAAGGGACTCGCTCATTCTCTGGTGTTCTCACTTTAACGGACTCACTCTTCAACGTCTGATCACTCGGATCTCGCCAGGTAACGATTTAAACGCTGTACCTCCAAGTGCTTGTCCCGGTGTGCGTAGCTTAGTCCCATTAGGGAACACAGTGCAGAGACCTTTGGGGCAAAGGGAAGCCTCAATCTGCCAGCAGCATGCCAGCAGAGAGGCGACCCTCAGCGCTCCATGGCAAGGGACCCATCGCAAGGGTCCTGGGGGGTGCGGACATTCACACCCCCTCTCATTGCACTGGTACGCGGCTCACCCCCCAGGAGCTCCCTGGGGATGTGGCCGCCATCAGCCCGCCAAAACTGGAAGTCAATTGATGCATTTCCTGACAGACTGTCTCCTTCAGTTTCTACCACAGAGATTCTCTGACTTGACCTTAGTCCTGTTGGTTTTGCACTCCCACGGTGGCACTGGTTCTGCTGGGCTTGCAAAAATGCCCTCTTCACCACCACCTTCAGTTTCTACTGCAGAGATTCTCTGGGACTTTGATTCTGTTCTGTGGGGCTTCTATTGCCCTCGCTTCCCCCCCCCATTGGAAACAATGGAGGATGGGGGCACCTTCTTTGGGGGGCTGCAACTTGGACCCATAAATCCAATTTTCACCAAACTTGAAAGGCAGGTAGAGGAGCATCAGCCAGAGATCCCCTGTGAGTGTGGTGTCTCTAGCATGCGGGCGGTGGGGGGGGGGCATTTTACCACATCCCATTGGAAATAGAAGCTCAACATCGGATCCTAATCCTCATACAGAGCACCTGTAAATTCAAAAAGTTTGTGCTGGTCCATTGTTCACAAACCATATACCCCACAAACTACACATCAAACTGTATTTTCCTGGTTTGTGTCCATCCCTACTTCCTAAAAGGATCAGGCTGCCTTTTGAATGATATAACACTGGAAATGTGCAACTTTTAAAAAAATATGTTTATTTACAAGCATACACAGAGACCACAGGGAAAGCAAATAAGATTCCTGCAGCAAGCAGCACAACAGCTGATCCTGTGTCAAATTCTCAAAGACCGTAACTGTGCACCAAGGACTCCTCCACTTTTTCTTAAGTCCAGCTAAGGGAAAAAAACCCTGTCCAACACTATCAGACTCTCTGTGTGCAAAATCAAACTGCAAACATTCCTTTCTGTGCCTCCCTCAACTCAAGTGAGTATTACATTTCAAAGACTATGGCTCTCAAGAAACTTTAGCTCTTTTCTTAATCAGGGATAGGCCCACTCATAACACAAAAAATAATACTCTCCTCTTGTTTGTTAATTCAGAGGGGAAAGTGGAATTCCGGAGAAATCCCAGCCCTTGGCCTAGACACTCACACCGCATATCCTTTCGTGAAAATCCATTAAAAGCAACCTCTTCCTTATTTGGTTGTTCCCTTTAATTAAGATTATTTGAGTGGGATAAAATGAATTTACAGGTGCACTATATGAGGATTAGGATCCAATGTTGGAGCAATCACTAATCCTCATTGTCTTTACCCTGTTGCCAGCATGGCATTTGTCTGAAATGCTTCCCTTACGTCTAGTGTTGAAGTAAATGCCTTGTGATTTAAGCCAACAAAGACACTAAGTAGGATAGTCTGCCCGACATCTCTCCTCTCAAAGTTAAGGTCGTGGAAGTATTTATGCATTGTCATCCTAGACTTCCAGCAAGCTCAGGATAGTATAAATGGCTCTCCCTCCCACATTTTAGCCACACAACAACCCTGTGAGGTAGGTTAAGAGCAGAGAGTGTGACTGGCTCAAGGTCACCCAGTGTGCCTCATGGCAGTATGAAGATCTGAACCCAGATCCCACACATTCTGGCCTGACACTAAACACTACATTATAATGTCATGAAAAGGTTTAGCCTTCTAATAGGTGAATTCCCAATGTTCTCCTTTTGCTTTTTCAAGCAAGCTTCTTCTTCTTTTTACAAAGTAACCTACTCTAGACAAGCTTTGGTCACACCATCTTTTGCCATGTGACTCATCCCTAGGCTAGTGACAGTTCTCAGAGAGAGAATTGGGGCTGCAGACTGTACTAAGAGGAATGAACTGCGGCTTTCAGGAGGGATGGGTACCAGGAATTTGTATTACAGCCCAAATGGCTCTTGCTCCGCTGTTTTCAGGCTTGGGTCCAGCTTCAGGGAACATGCAGGGAACAGGGGTGATAGGTTTTGACTTACTGTTCAGAACCAGAACTGAAAATTGAATGACAGGTTGGGGGGGCAGATAACTTTTCTTGTGGGTCCACCATTGGCCCATGTTGTAATTGTTTAAAACCAATACAATGTACAAATGAGAATGATTTTGAAACAATTGTACCTGTGGACCCCCCACCCCAGATTTACAGAAAATGTTATTTCACATATTTTCATTAACATTTTTGAAATAAAAAAGTCCAATATCATCAAATACAAATCTGTAAATCCATCCCTGTTTAAGGGCTACCAGTGGCTTCAGGCCAGGAAAGGCTGTGTTCCAAGACATTCTGTCTCTAAAGACCAGGTGCTAAGGGCCAGCAAGAGAGGGCGGCTGTCACCACATGGCTTCATTGTGGAGTTGCCAGGTACCCTCCGGCCACCAGCAAGGGATGAGGGGGGAGGTTGCCAGCCTCCAGGTTGGGAAACTCCTGGAGATTAGGGGATGGAGGCTGGGGAGGACAGGGACCTCCGTGGAGTACAATATTATAGAGTCCACCCTTCAAAGCATCCATTTTCTCCAGGGGCCTGAATATGACCTGTAATTCCAGGGGTTCCCCCAAGTCCCACCTGGAGGCTGACATCCCTACTTGGTTGTTAGTTTCCTGTAGCTGCCGCCTGGACACTCTTGAGAACCAAATGTTGAATACAGGAGGGGTCTTGTGATCTGCCCAGAAAATATACCTCTGTGGCTATGAGGGATTTCTGGGTGTTCCCCCATTCTCAGCCACCTCTAGAGCTGACCCAGGCAAGAAATCAGACTTTCAGGGGGAAGATCATGGGAACAACAGAAATACTGAGTGAGGAGCCCTGGGTGCCCATGCACGTGAGCTCTTTCTCTGTCGGCCCTCAGGCTCAGAGTAACTGAAAGTAGAAGTCAATGACATGAGCCGATCCTGGGTTCTGCGTGAGGCCGAGGGGCTCGTTGGATCTGGAGGAGGTGCAAAGGAACCAGCCTGGGTGGGAAGCAGACTCAAAGCGCCACATCCCATTCTTGTAAGACCGGAAGAAGGTAAAGCGGGTAGAGTCCTCCTTGCTGTCATTGTACAGGTCTGAGATGCGGATGCTCTGAAAGGAAGAAAAAGGCACCTTAAGGAGGGAGGGGGGAAACAGCCCTCTGACACTTCCTGGGGGGCAAGAAGATACCTGGCTCCAGTTTGGCCCTAGAGTAGAGACAGAGAGTTCTCAAAGAAGCCAGGTAAAGCATCTGGCCCTGCGCTGCCAGGGAATTCCTTGGGAACTTGCAGGACGGACTTATTTTTCATTGGCAACAGAGAGACATGGGTGGGGCATGGGGGGAGCCAATTTCTGTGGATTCTTCCATTGGGTGGTTCCTCACATTATTTTCCACTAGTGGAGAGAACTGGGTGATGGGGCTGGGGAGAGAAAGGGACTTTGGCATTGACCAGTATGATGCTCAGCATCTGGGAGCTCACCGCCAGCCCTTAAGAAGGTCTTTAGTGCATGACAGTTCCAGAAAGGGAGACCCGCTTCCTTTCTGCCAATGTGCCTGCCACTTCCACTGCAATTCTCAGGGCCAAGTGAGATGAAAAACAAGGAAAGCTGTGAACAGAGATTCCTAGCATTTTAAAAGAGAAAGAGCAGCAACATGGGTCCCTGATATGGATCTGGGAGACACTGAAAGGGGGGGAGGGCAGACTTGCTCCTCCCCACCCATGTAATTTCAGCAGGGGAACAGCCCTAGATTGGTAGTGAAGAATGCGCTTTTAGCAGAAGGTCCAGGTTCAACTCCATCTTCAGTAGTTCGATCAATCGACCTTTATTGGCATACCATACAGAACATAAGACCCAATTTGCAAGGAATACTGAACGCTGTCTTGAAGCTTCATACAGAAATTTTGCAACACTTTCAATTATTATGTGATTCTGGGTTGTCAGCAAAAAGTAAAGTTTACATTTAGCAGGTTTTCCTGAATACTTTCTGAACCATGGCTCAGTGAATGTAATGCGCAGGTCAGAGTAGAAAGTACATGAAAGAAACACATGTTCAAGAGTTTCTATCTCCTGCTTAGTGCAGGAACACAATCTACTGTCGAATGGAATTTTTTGGAATCTTCCATATAATACTGCTGATGGCAACACATTTAACCTTGCTAACATATATTCTCTTCGTTGCCCCGGGTTCGTTAAACAAGTTAGATACTCAGCCCTATGCCTTCCACAGAATATTCCTGCACTAAGTTTATGATTAAATATTTTAATTGCAGCCGGCGTGTATTGGTTGCCTTTAGTAAAATAGAAACGAGTAAGTGCTGACATGTTACAGTTTGCAGATTTAATCATTTCCTTCCTATGTGGGACCCAACTAAGTCTATGATTGAAATAGATTCCAAGATATTGGAAATTTTAACCTGTTCAATCTGATTACTTTTTATACTCCAATTTAAGGGTTTCCACGCCCCTGCGAATACCGTGATTTTTTATTTTTCGAAGTTCAACACCAGCCTATTTCATTCACAATAATCACAGAAGTGCGAAAGGAGTCTTTTTATGCCGATCCGTGTGAGGGAAAGCAGAACTGTGTCATCCACATATAAAAGCAGAGGCACGTGAGTAAACCCAAGTCTTGGACAATGTCTGTCCATTTCCTTCAGAAAAGGAGCCAGATCATTCAAAAAAAGATTGAACAACAATGGAGCTAAGATGCATCCCTGCTTTTCCCCCACATTAATCAGAATTTTTGGAGTTAGAACCCCACCATGAGGGCATCTTACCTGGCAAGTTGTATTTTGGTGTAGATTTTTAATCAAGGCTAACAATCTCGGATCGATCCCATAAGCTATGAGTTTCCTTCAAAGCAAATCTCTTGGAACTTAACATATGAGCAATAAAATCATTGTTGTCTCTTTTTAAAAATAGGTGTAACCAAAATTTAATGGCAATAGTCCATACTCTAGTCTCAAGGAGTCTTTGGTTTGTTTCTATACTAGGGTTGCCAAGTCCAAATTAACTTACCTCGGGGGAGTCCCGCACCGTCCTGGGAGTCTGTGTGCATGCGCACTTCGCACACGCCGCCGCAATGACACCACCCGGAAGTGACGTCATCGCGTCAACACGTTGGGGGCGGGGCCACTAGGATTTGAGGGAAAACCATAGAGTTTTCCCTCAAATCATAGAGCGTCCCACCCCCAACGTGGCCAGCGTGATGATGTCACCTCTGGGTGACATCATCACGCTGGGGACGTGTGCCAGAATGGGGTGGAGTTCCCCCCGGGGCCTAATTTGGTGGTGTTGGGTAATGGGCCTCTCGGGCAGGGGTTTACCCACCCCCCGGGGAGATTTGGCAAGCCTATTCTATACACATGGCTGCACTGGCACACAAGAGGGTAGGCCCAAAATCTTACGAAGAAAGTTAGACTGCATTCTTTCCACGTCCTAATTAAAGGCCGTTATCCAAATGGGAGCTCCGTAGAACACTCCTGCACTAAGTTTATGATTAAATACTTTAATTGCAGCCGGAGTGTATTGGTTGCCTTTAGTAAAATAGAAACGAGTAAGTCCTGACATAAGATATCGGAAATTTGTAACCTGTTCAATCTGATTACTTTTTATACCCCAATTTAAGGGTTTCCACGCCCCTGCGAATACCATGATTTTTGATTTCTCAAAGTTCAACACCAGTCTATTTAATCACAGAAGCACGAAAGGAGTCTTTTCATGCCGATCTGTGTGAGGGAAAGCAGGACTGCGTCAATCACATATAAAAGCAGAGGCACGTGATTGAACCCAAGTCTTGGACAATGTCCGTCCATTTCCATCAGAAAAGGAGCCAGGTCATTCAAAAAAAGATTGAACAACAATGGAGCTAAGATGCATCCCTGCTTTACCCCACATTAATCAGAATTTTTGGAGTTAAAACCCCATCATGAGGGCATTTTACCTGGCAAGTTGTATCTTGGTGTAGATTTTTAATCAAGGATAACAATCTCCAATTGATCCCGTAAGCTATGAGTTTCCTCCAAAGCAAATCTCTTGGAATAGAGTCAAAAGCACCCTTGAGATCCAAAAAAGCTGCAAATAGTTTGGAGCCCTGTGCTTTCTTGTATTTACTAGCAAGATGACTGAGAATTAGGCAGAGATCTAGTGTAGATTTCCCTTGGGAAAATCTAGCTTGTTCTCTGTCAGCCAAGCTCTAAATTTATTGACTAGATGTCCTGCATAGAGCTTTCCACCTATGGACAAAAGACTGATGGGCCTATAGTTGCCTGGTGATCGACATCTTCAGTAGTTAAAGCAGAGATACTGAACTCATTTGTTACAAGGGCCAGATCTGACATATATGTCATTGTGTTGGGCTGGGCCATATGTGCCAGAAAATGTAACACAAGGTAATGGAGATATAAACTTTATAAAGATGATTTCAGATGCCGAATGGCAATAGCAGGCTTAATTGGATTAGGTGTGATATGCAGAGGGATAGTAGGCGTAGAGCAGTGTTCCCTCTAAGCTGAGTTAGTGTGAGCTAGCTCACAGTTGTTTAGCCTCCAGCTCACACATTTTTGTCATAGCTCAGGAAGGATGGCTCCAGAACAAACTAATTTATATAGTAGCCAAATCGCTTACTCACAACTTTAATGGCAGTAGCTCACAAAGTAAAATTTTTGCTCATAAGACTCCATAGCTTAAAGGGAGCATTGGCGTGCAGATATCAGCACTGGTAATGAGACAGGAAACCTAGGTCTCAGTTTGGTCCAGGAAGATTCAGTCCGGGAGGATGCAAACAATAAATGGAAATAAGTCTAAAGAAGTGAGCAGTGACTCACAAAAGCTCATCCCCTGCCACAGATTTTGTTAGTCTTTAAGGGCAGCAGGTGCTGGGAAAGACCTTTCTCTGCTTGTGGCTCTGGACAGCTGCTGATGGCCAAATCACACAACCCTGCGTTAGATGAACCAGTGGTGTAAATGAGCCACAGAGGCTCATATGTTCAGCAGTCCTGCCTGGAGGGGACTGAAGTAGGCTTCCCAGGCTCCGGAAGTGATTCATGACCAATTAGCACCATGACATGCACTTCATCACTGATTCTTACTAGAGGCTTGCAACCAGTGTTTAGACAGTTTAATTCAAACATTCCTCATACTGATCATTGGCCTCAGGGAGACTCTCTCTCCTGCATCTCTGGCCACCCACCCTCATGATGCATGCTCAGTCACTTGCCTTTCTCTCTTCCCTGCTTCCTCACCCATGTCTTCTCTGCTATCTTCCATATGTTCTTGTTTACCTTTGCTGGCCTCACATTCTGTTCAGGGTGGAGAAGAAGAGGAAACCACTGTTTCCCCCTCCTTTTTTGTTACAAAAAGGTCCTTGGTCATTTGTGCCACTGTGAGCGAGGCAAATAGCAAGTGGCCTCTCCTTGGAGAGAGCTGCAACCATGGAAGGCTGGGTGGCTGGAGGAAGGGGCAGAGAAGCAGGCAGCTTCTCCTCTATTCTCCTCCTGGCCAGGGAACAAGATCTGAACTCAGTGGGACCAAGTAAACAGACATAAGATCAGGTTTCATCCCCATCACACACACAGCATCCCTGTCTCTGGCTCCTCCCTCCAAGGCTGAGCCATGTGAGGTTCACTGCTTCAAAAAAAAAATACAATACAAGATAGTGACAATGAGCTGAGCCTCCTCACCTCAAGCTGGAGCACAGGTTGGGCCCCGAAGGAGCAGGCCAGGCACTGACTCCCATCCTTAATACTCAGGATGATCGGGAACTTCTCACGATTAAAGTTACGGTTAGGAATCCAGTAAATCTTCTCTGGGGAGGAGGGGAGGAATAGAGAACCAGTCAACACCCTGAGGATATTCCAGATGCAAAGACAGAGGCATGGTGGCGTTCACAGAGGCCATCCTGACACATGAGCAGAAATAAGAGAAACAGGATTTGGCCCAGGGTTACCTCCTCCTAGGTCTGGAGAGAGGCTTCTTTGAGGGCTCTCAATCTGACTTTCCTCAGATTGCCAACCTCCAGGTGGTACCTGGAGATCTCCAGGACTTACAACAGGTCTCCAGGTGACAGAGAAAATGGCTGATGTGGAAGGTAGTCGCTATAGCATTATACTCTGTTGAGGTCCCTTTCAGGTTCCACCCCCAAGATCTCTGTGAATTTCCCAGCCCAAAGCTTGCGACTCTAGACATTCCACAGGTAACCTGCTGCCTGACAACTTCGAAGGAGGCAATTTGAGAAAAAGAGGCAAGATTAAGTTAGCTGGCAAATGTTCCCAGTTTTTTTGCTAATCACTAGAGGTGGTTCTTGACGCCAACCAACACAAATGAACCATGGAATACCAGTGGGCCCAGGACAGAGGTGAAAGCAAAGCAAAGGGGCAGGAAGTGGTAAGGAGGCAGGAGCTGAATTACTGATAGGGGCACTTCCTGCCCATCGGCATGGAGACACTTTTGAAGCAGAAGGAAGGGTCATCCCCTCAGTCACTAGCTTCCATTCTGGCAGACCCTTTCCCTTTCGCTGTGAAAATCAAGGCAGTAGGCTACTGACTTGCCTGGAGAAAGGTGACAGATCTACAGCCAAGAAAATAATTACTGTAGGGGGAGAATCCCTGCAGCCCCTGCACATACTCTGTGGTTGGCACAAGAATCGACAGGGCAGAACCAATGCAGAATAAAAGTAACAGGAGAAGCCAAGATGGGTATACCCATTATGCCATCATCCAGGCCCAGTTCGTGGTTGGTGTTACTGCTGTGCAGGACGAGGGCAACTGCTGCCTCCATCTCAATGACAGCCATCCCTCAGAGAAGATTTCTTGACCCTTCTGCCTATCACAGTGAGAAACTGTACTGCTGAGCGGGAGGAGGGCAACTGCTACCTCCATGAGTCTGACCCTTCTGCCTATCACAGTGAGAAACTTCAGGAGAGTAAGACGCCATGCACAGCACAGACTCACCTTCCAGAGCAGAATTGGGACCTTGTAGGTATCCTGCCACCAGCTCATCATTCTGTAGGTAAAGGGATTTTTGATTGACATCCCAGATTCTGAAACACCAAAGCTTAAGTTAATAATCCCTTGAGCTCTCATCAGCTTTAAACTTGCCAGCATTACTCAGAAATGAACACTCCCTTATCTCACACACACACATACAACAGGGTCACATCTGTGTCTTGTGCTTGACTGACCAGCATGCCTGCATTAGATTTTACAGGTACTGTCTGTCACTTAGGATGCCAACACTGTGCATACCAAATCTACTGACCACCAAGTCTAGGAAGGCAGCTCAGTGGTCAAGCACACACTTTGCAGGTAGAAGACCCTTGCTTCAATCCCTTACATCTCCACTTGAGATCTTTAGTAGCATCTGTTGAAAAACGCCCTCTGTCTCCCCCTAGTATAACTGGTGTCTTCACAAGATCTAACAACATCGTACTGGGAAGTCAGATGTCAAACTGCACTGAACATGAGCATCAGTACTCTTAATGAATATAAAATAGTCTTCAAAGCACTTGGCTGCTGTCCATCCATCTTTCCAAAGGATGGTGGTGAGACCTCCATTTGATGCATCCTTACTGGTTCTCATAATAAGTATTTATTTAAAGTGGAAGGCTGACTGGTCTCAAGAGGTCAGAAAAGACGACATCATCTTGCAGACCAGGGCTTTGCTCATCTGTCAGATACTTAGGATTTGAACTTCAGTGTTTGTCGTTTTGGTATTTGGCTTCTGGAGGCTAAATCCTCAGGGCAGAGATGATCATGTGAGCAGGAGGATTCTCACACAACCTAGTTATCCCCTGCAAAAGAGCACCTTCTTGCCTCTGAAGGATCAGCTTCCCTGTTCCCCTCACCCCTTCTGATGCTATGATACAGAAATAGTTTGCGAGCTGACCGGGATACTTACCGGGACCTGAAGACCATTGCTTGGGCACCTGGCATTGCACAGACCTTGTCCCCATCTGAACAGAGAAGAGAAAACAGGAAGAGGACAATGTTACTCAATGAGGATTGGTGAGGCTTCATGGGGAGTAAGGGTGGATTCAGACAGCTCTGCTCTCTCAGTGTGGCCCTGTCTTTTTATAGATTAGCCACATGATTGGAATGTACATCATTACCCAGCACAGTTATTAATTCCGTGGCTGTGATACAAGCCCTAAAATTTCCAATAGCTCCTTTACGTGTTGCAATCCATGTTGCAACTTTAGATGTTGAAACTTCCCCAAACGGACAGCTTACGTTCCTGTGGCTGTGTACAGACAAAGGAACAGCAAAAACAAAGCATTGATTCAATGTCCCTAGCCAGGGAGAGTAGACCTTCTAAAGACTTTACGTTTCCCCTTGTAAAAGACAAGCAGAGAGATAATCACTTGACAGGCGCTGTAGCCTGGAGCTCCTATCACAGTAAAACCATGACCATCAAAGCAACAGCTAGCCAGCCTGTTTGCCCACTGGAAGCTTTAATCTTCTTGCTCAGCTGCCAGGAAGTTTCCTCAAACCATCTCAATGCAGCTCTTCCATTCACAGCAAGAAGGACTGAGATCAGCAAAGTTAAAGAACCTGAGCTGTTGTTTTCCAGCAGTAATGTCCTACCCATGGTAGCTGGCAGCTCCTGTCCTCGAGTCACATATTGTTCCAGTCCCGTCAGCTCAGACTGGATGGTCTGTAAGCCTCGCCCAGCTATTTATGGTGCAACCTGAACAGTGTAGGGAGGAGCAGTCCAGCCTCGGAGGATTGTCCATAGAAAGCATTGTGACAAAAGAGAAAAAGGATATTGGCCTTTTAGGGACAGAGTTCCCCAAAGTTCTTCCAAATGTTCTTCCCGACCACCCAGTCTGGGGTCAATGGGAAGTCTTGTCAGGGTTCCTTTGGCAATGCCACAGTACCCTCAAAAAGTCAAATACTCAGCCCCACAGCTAGGTATGTGGAGATACCACATAAGCAGAAAGAGCCCAAGCTCAGGGACAGAGCATATGCTGGTCCTGCAAAGGCTCTTGGTTCAGTCCTTAGTCTCTCCAGCTGAAAAGATCCCTAGCTATGTAGTGGGCAGAGACTTCTCTTCTTCAGAGCTCAGAAAACTGAGCCCAGTCAACTCAGGCAATGCTTGGTTATTTTATTGTATTTTATTATTTCTAACATTTCTATGCCATGTTTTGCCCCAACATTTCTACACTGCCTTTCAACCCAACCCAAGGTCTCCAAGGCATTCTAAATTTTGAAAATATTTAAAATACAAGTATCTTTTTTTTTTGCCACCAAGTCACAGCTGACTTATGGCGAAGCCATTGGGCTTTCAACGCACGAGACGTTCAGAGGTGGTTCACTATTGCCTGCCTCTGCGTCATGACCCTGGTATTCCTTGGAGGTCTCCCATCCAAATCCTGGTGAGGGCCAACCTGCTTCACTTCCGAGATCTGATGAGACCAGGCCAGCCTGGGCTATCCACGTCAGGGCTTCGCCCTAATGACCCCTCCCATTTCTTCTGCCGTGTTTTCCACTTTCCCCCGATTAATGACTGTCCCAACATGAAAGGTAACCTTAGTGAATGTGTACAGTGACAGACTTTTATTCATCAGCTTTACCAGCAAGCCTGAAATTGCATGGTGGAGGAGTCCAGAAAGTGCTGATTTCCTGAAAGGTGTCATTTATATATAAAACGATTAAACAGAACAAATAAATACACAAATGGGGAGGAGAGCTAATAAGCTTTAGTGAGGGAACACTAAACAAATAAAAAAATCTTCCCCCACCGCCGGAAGACAGTGTGAGGAGACAGATGAATCTCCCTGGAGAGGAAGTTCCAAAATTTTGGCATCACAGCTGAGAAGGCCATCTCTCAGACTGTCACTTTTATAGGCTCAAATGGTAGGGGCACCCGAAGCAGGGTGTTGGAATCTGACTACAGTGTTTGAATACATTCATAAGGGTGTATGTGGTCTTTCAGGTATGCTAGTTCCAAACCTGAAGTGATATGGTCCCCACGACCCATTCCAGTCAACATTCTGGCCACAGCGTTCTGTACCAACTGTAACTTCTGGATGGTCTTCAAGAGCAGCCCCACATATAGCACATTGCAGTAATCTAATCTATGTTACCAGTGCGTGCACCACAACGGCAAGATCTTTTCTGCCCACATCTATCCCAAAACTGCTGCCAAGCACCGGTTCACAGTTCCCACAGTCCCCCTGGCATCTGGAAGCATGAAATAAACTTGTCACTCACATATTGGTGGCAACGTAGCCCAGATCGCCAGATGACTTCTCCCAGTGGCTTCACACTGAAATTAAAAGGTTTGAGGGATAATGTGGAACCTTGTGGATTAGATGATGGGCCAGTGAACCAATGGTGCGACTTGGCAGAAGGCTACATTAGAAGTCATCATGAGCACAAAACTCAGTGTGACTCTTTGAAAGATGCGGATGTTTAGCCTTACTGGTTGCAGTCAAGTGAAGGCAATGCCCAAGAAAAAGGCCAAGATTCCAGCACCTTGTACAACTGCTTGCCCCTCCTCTTGGCAGTGCCATTCTAAGAAAATTTAAGCCCTTCTTAAAGGTGTACTTTGCTTAGGACTGTGCTGTATATCATGTAAACATGGAATTGTGTTTTTTTTAAATAAACAAGCACATTTATATATTCCCTCTCTTCATATGATACCTACTGAATTCCGTAGCATCAAACCTGGATTCCATTTTTTATCATGTAAAACTCACAGCTCTGCCCACAGTCCTCAGAGAATGAGTCCCAAGGTCCTGAACAAGCAAATATTTCATGTGCTGGATGTACCTTAAGTGTTAGGCCACATGGCAGGAAAGGTGCATCCTCCCTTGTTTCAAGATTTCAGAGCAAAGAGCATCGTCTTCATAACAGAATCTTTTCCCCAAGCTTCAGTGAGCATGGCCCTCTGAAAGGCCCTTTCAATTATGGAAAATCCCCTTCTGTTGGAGACCTGCCCTGATACTGAGCACTTTCAAACAAGTTGTAACAGAGGCTTTCAGGGATCAAAGTCAAGAGCAAATAGAGTGCTCGGGCTTTTATTATATTTTAGTGTCATCAAATGTGAGTATTTTCATTCAGGTTTTTTTACCCAATTTGCACATTGATCCACCTAAGCCCTCAGAAAGAGGCAAGTATAAATGTAAGTAAATCAACACACAAAAACTTTGTTTAGGGGGAAAGCTGGTTTCACTGTTCAAAATCAGCCTCAACCAGTTTGCTGCTGTGCTTTGACCATTTTCTAACAGTTAGATATATGGGGGAGAAACAGTTCGAGGCTTCCAGCAGCAACAGGGGACATGTCAGTTAGTTGTTTGCCAAGGAGTCTCTGGGTATTCCCAGTACCCTTCCCTAGGACCGAAAGATGCTCAACATGTGGTGACACAACCTAAGGGAATAAATGGCTGCTGATAGTTTCTCATCTCTTTGACCCATTTAACTATGGCTCTGCTGGGCTTTCTACAGGCTGCAATTCTCTCCCATGTCAGAGCTGGGCAGGCTCACAAAGAATAACAAACCACTGAATCATAGGTGGTGACAAATGAAAGCCAAACTCTCCTGCAAAATGTCCCAGCCTCCTCCTTTCTGAGCATCAGGATTCCCCAGGACGTCAAATAGAAGTGTATTTACCCAGCAGAACCAAAGAGGAAGCTGTAGTGTTGCAAACAGAGGAACCTGAAATTGCCTCATTCCATGAGTGTAGGGGATGTCTACTCTGAGAAGTTCTTGTGGACCTGCGCAATGCAGGGATTGAAACATGGGAGGGGGGGGAGGGGGAGACTGCATCTGTTTCCTGGCAGGAGGCTTGTTCGGCTTTCAGGACATTCTCTACACAAATCTTGTGTGCACCTGAAATGGAAACCTGTGGCTCCGGAACCAGTGTTTGGACTGGGCATCACTGTATGTCATCTTGCAGGGGACAGTCTCCAGAGCATTGGGGTGGTCCAAAGATTGTTTTGGGGTACAGCTTGGCCCCAGTATCTGCCTGTGTGATAGTCCTGGGGGCACCTCACTATGGAGTAGCTGGCACAAGAACCATGCTTTGGACCAGGACACAGCATATGTCCCCTTGAAGAGGGGAGTTCACTAAACATGAGGGTGTATGAAGTTTGGGGGTCCAAATCTCATTTTGGGGCTTAGAGCTTTCAAACTCTCCTCAGTGTTTTTGGGTGAATTCATGAATAATATGCAAATAAGGAATGAATAAGGAACTGGGAATAAGGAACCAACTTCAGCCTCCTTGTGCTACTAGGGTTCTGGTTCTTTTTAGAGACTCTTTCCTTCAAAGGCAGAAGGATTTATCCAATCTTTTAGTCCACCGTTGGCATAAAAGGACAGAAGTACTTGAGAGTTCCTGTTGTCTACAGACCAGATTTCCTGGTTATTTTGACACCTTGACAGAGTGGTCAGTTGCTCAGAGGAGTCAGGGAGTCAGTCATACAGGAGGAGGAGGAAAGCACATGTGGTCAGCTCAGCTGCACCAAGGGGTGATTAAAAGTTGCGCCAAAAAGCAGGAACCCATCGCAAAAGTGGAGTGCTATGAGGGAGTTGAACAAGAAGAACAAACATTTCTATGTTCAAACGATTTCACAGAATTGTCTTCTTCCAGCAGGTCAGTTAGGTGGATTAGAATGAAGTGGAAGTTTTGTATCATGCTGGTCCCCTGAGAGAGGCGGTTCCAGGGAAAAGGGGCAGCAAGGGAGA